ATACCACGGCACCACTGTGCCGCGACCCGCCTGTGCTGGGTTTTTAAATTCTAATGTACTCGAATTTCAATAGTACTAATATGTACTAGACTCTGAAATCAAATATTGACCTAGGACCAAAAGGACGCACGTAGACACTCTATCCCTTGTGAAGAAACCGAATTTAATTAAGTTTTGGTGAAATGATTTGACGTAGCGTTGCAATGATGAAAGCCGAGCATGTATTGATGAGTCAAACATTTGATTTTGATATCGTTAGATTAATATACATTGTGCAGATTAGTGAAGAGTCTTATTAAATACAAAAAATGTGGAAAACTACATAAAATGCAATGTACTTCTAACGATTTTGCTGCAATAAAATTAAAAACTCTTCATCAATTAATGAACCAAATAGATTGTATTATACAATACGTTAATGGTAAATGAACTAGACCAAAAAATTCATCATGGAACTACTGTGAAGTAGTTGAATGCATAAAAAAAGGATATGGTAATGGTACATGGTACTTAAGATATGGTACATGCGAATTATATATAGCCTGTTATGAAAGAGCTAACAGATGGGCTAAGTCATAGTCTGAGGTTTTTCTTCAAATTAATTTGAGTGTAATGTAATAACCATTTATATATATGAGTGATTATGATATTAATTAGTCTAATATATTTGATTATTTTATAAATTTATAATTTTGTTGCAGGAAGAACATAAATACAAGACAAAAATTATTGAGCAACCTTTTTCGATGTATCATTTTTTTACACAAAAATAATGATTATAATCCGTGGACCCCTCAGTGGCCGAAACCTAATCACGTCAGAAAATTAGCCTATATTAATAACATTTGGGTTTTGTAAGTTATAATTTCCAATAACTTTTTGAATGATTTGTTAAACTACAATGATCAAATTCTGAAAGGCACAAACGTCACATAAACGGCTACAGTTAAGTTTTATATATGCCCCCTTCTTATGTGTCAGCCACCGTTATTCCCCTACATATAGATCTACTTGCGATACCAGTTGTACTAGCTAAGAGAAAAGGGAACCCCTTCCATGTATGGGTATACTCTTAACCTTTCACCATGTTATGGGAAGGGGACACGTGCCTTTCGTTGCGGTCAATACCCCCGAACCACACACTCCTACGTCAAAGACTTAGGGCTGGAAAAGTTGATTGGGTTGCTCAGTGGGGGAACAGCTCATATATTTATTATCTACTCGTGATGATGTAATTTTTATTATAATTATTACATAAATAAGTGGTTTATTCAATTGTTTTTCTAATACGAGTGTGCATAGATGAATTTGTACCATTCGCGGTGCCCTAGCCTTAATAGCAGGTGTCCGTGCTGAGGCGGAAAGCCTGGGGTAAGGTCGAGGTTTAGCTGCTGCATTCAGAGCCTTGTGGCGGACCACGCAACCGGCGACGATACCACCCACAGGCACTACCACGGTCTGGGGCAGCTCCGGAGGCTCCGTCTGCGTCGACGTTTCAACGGTCGGCACCTCCTCCTATGTGGTGCGGGTCTGCTCGAGATCGTTCAAGGAGGGAACGCTCCTTATCAGGTCTCTCACAGCCGATCTAACGTGGTCGTGTGGCGGTACGACGAGAACCATGTTCTCTAGCCGTTGCGCCTGAAAGCACGCCAAGGAGAGACCGGCCGTGAGAACCGACTTTGAGCTTGCCTGGTCCAGCTTAGACCGCGGCGTACCGTCCTCGTTGAAGAGGTCGGCAGACACTATCTCCCCGCATTTCCTCCACTTCGCATCGGGAACCCTTCCAGGTCTATCTTCGAGTGGGATAGGTACATCTGAAGGAGTATCCTCCAAGATGACCACCCTGGCTCCGTCCGCTGCTGGGGACACCTTTTCCCTTTTTCCCTGCATGGCATCATCTTCATAGATGTCTGGAACACTCGGCAATTCAGCCCGACTAGGTCTCTCCCCGGGCGAGTTTCCCGACCCACCTCCATTCTGGGCTAGCCAGATAACCCGCTCGGGGCTAAACCCGACACCGGTGGGGAGGTCCTCCCGCATCATTCTCAGTATAGAGGTTACCGAGCTACGGAAGTCTCCGGGCGACCGGAAAGCCCCGTGAGGCAAACATTCCATCCGTAAGCCTTCTAGGCGCTGCGCGATAGTCGACCACCTGTCGAATTCGGAGTGGGACATACGGATGTCATTGCAGAAACGACCCCTAATGCCCGATCACATCGCGATTGAAGTCAAGACTTCCGGGAGTAACCTCGGTGTCCCTAAGGACATCGGAGGATGCCTCACATCCTCCAGCAGTAACTTGGGCGCGAACGCCCCCTGGACCCTGTCTCGACAGTCCAACGGTTTCTATGCAGTCTCTAGATGATGATCGGGTCGAGTCTGCAAAAGCACTCTTCTCAGCCGGCCCTGGAGTCTCCGAAACTCCTGGAACGGTAACCGTATTTTTAAAATGGTGTCCTTCCATGCTTGGTTTTTACGGGTGGCCTTCCCTGCGTTTTACCTACCGCCAGAGGATTTGTTTTCGGTGTTGCCTTCACCTAGATGGTAGCCTTACGAGGCTACCGGGCCCACCCACCCGTTATACAGTTTTCCTCGAACGTTACCGCTTATTCGTCCACATTTAAGGTGGCTAATCTCACGGTTACCCTGCATATCTGCAAAGTTAACGAGCGAACGAGGAGCTTATTTTCTGCGACCGCTTATTTGTCAGTCCAAATTAATGGACTGCTTATTTCGCGGCTAACCTGCATATCTGTAGGCCGTTCCTCTATCCGCAACCTGAGGACGCGCCCGATTCCCCGAGCTAGGGAAACTGCGCTCGTGCCGACGTTTTCGTAGAGCCCGATCACACCGATACTGTAGTGCAGCGCAACGGACCTTTTTTCCTCTCAGCATTTTTTTTTAAATTACGCCACTGTACAATTAAAAGTTTCCTGTTTGGATGTTTATCAATTATATAACAAAAGCAATATCATTTATTTTTGTAAAATCCAGTCTAGATTATTAATTTTAACAATAAATGTTTTCTAAAAAATTGTTATGGCGCATAAAGATAATTTAAAAAAATTAAAAATAAAAGGATAACTAGAAAAAACTATTGTGATAATATCAAACATTTTTTTAATAAAATATTAATAATAACACACGCACTATTTTTATAGTAATTGTTTCAGAAGCATTGCTTAAAAAACAACCTATATCTAGTATAAAAGGAAAATAATTAATATTATTATGTGTAAAACATGAATGTAGTTAAATATTTTAAACTTGTTAACTGTAAATATCTAATATTTAGTTTATTCACTACATATTATATTATCAACGAAATCCTAGATAAGTGTAAGCGCTATTAGTTAATAAATGATGAAATATTAATGTTGAGAAAATTAGATACAGGTAAAATATACATTTTTTGGCACCATCATGAAAATAACTGTTTTAATCAGTATTTAATTAGTTACTTGAGTTGAAATTTTATCATTTATTTCTAGAAATCTAAAATTTTATTAGAATTTGAATTATGCCGTCAGATTAAGTTCAACATTTTTTTTCCTAAATTGATATATATATTTAATATTTTTTTATAACTTATAGTACTTAATTGTGTTTATAAAAAATAATGTTATTTAGATCAGATATTTATCGGGCTCTCTTTTTATAGAATTTATTTTTAAATTAACTAGTAAAAATAAAATTTTTATAAAAATATAATTAAAATTATCTACTCATTTATTAAAGTTATATAGCAAATTAAAAATTCAATGCATTTTTTCTAAATTGGATTTATACGACAGCTCTTGGTTGCACTTTGAAATATTAAAAAAATATACATGTGCACTCTTCTTGTCTTTAAAAAATGTAAAAATCGTAAAGTACAAAAAATAGAATATTTTACTTTCTATCAAATCATTTCTAATCGAGAATGGAGCTGGAAAAATAAATTAGATACCTTTTAAAAAACTTCAAAAGCTTAAAAAATGTTTTTTTGTTAATTGAAAAGTTAAAATTGACCTAAATAGAGCCATTTTATTCAAATAAAATTGCGTATTTCATTATTAGTTCATATTTCCAAAAATGTTGGAAATGGAAAAAAGGCAATTAAACTGAAGTCAATATATTTTATGGCAAGAAATTTAATGTTAATATACTAAATTCATCTCATCTATTTTATATATGTTAATTGAGATTCAATTAAAAAATTAAAATTATATTATTTATAAATAATTAAAGGAATAGCAAACCATAAACTATAGATAAGTGGCATCATGGATATTTAAAACAATGAGAGAAAAATAATTGTCTAAAAAATATTTTTTTGGAAAATTAAAAAAAACGAAAATTTTCCTTCTTCATTGTTTTTTTCCATTTCTAATATTTTCAGAATTATAATCAAATGAAAAAAATTATATTTTTCCAATAAAATGTATTTAATTCAGTCAAATTTTAATTTCCAAAAGAATAAAAAGGTTTTTATATTTTTTAGAGTTGCATTTATTATTATTATTCAAAAGTATACTTAAAGAGCTGTTTATCAAAACCAATTAAAAAAAATATATGATATTTTAAATTTGCTATATACATTTGAAATATGATTAATAATGAGTATGGGTTGCCAATTTAACGTGAGCGGTGTGGATAGTTGATAGTTTGCACAATTAGTAAAAAAATTACAATTAATATTTAAAAAATGTGGTAATAAATAATGTAGTAAACCCCAGCAAATAAATCTACACCTTCACATATCCTGAATCCTTTCACAGGCTACGTTAATTTTTTTCTAACAACATAACTGCGTGTTTAATATAATTTTAAATATTTATAAAAATAGTGTTAATTTTAATAAAACGATTTAGTTTGAAAAGCATACTAACTAAAAACATAAAGAATAAATATATTTTTCAAAGAAAAATTTTTTTTTGAATTTATTATTTATAAACTCCCCAATTAATGTTAATTAATATTTAAATTACGCACAATCATAAAAGACTAAAGTTCTCTCAGATAATAGATAGTATAGTATAGTATAGTTTGTTACCGTTTAATTATTCGTTTTGCTTTATTACTGAAAACAAGTTCGTTAATATATCCTATTTTTGGTAAAAATATTTATTATATTATATGGATTTTATTTTTTATATTTTCATTTAATTATTGTTAATATATTTATTTTTTCAAGAATTGTACTACAGAAGAAAATTAACTGTCATGATGATGAAATTACTCGTTTGCCTGTGTTTAGTATTGGTTGCAATAAGTTTAACCAAGGTAATCTAGTTCATTTTTTTTGGTTATAATTAATTTAAAATTGCATTTATGATAATATTTAAATAAACACAGGGGTGTAAACAGCAGGGTTTTCGACGAATACAAATATTAAGGTCTTTAGCCTAGTAAAAAAAATGATTTCTAGATCAATTGAACATACAATATTAAACATTAAACAACTAATTTATTATCATGGATAAAATTAGAATAAAATTCGAGTAACTACAGTTATAAAAAATTATGCATGCTTATAGAATTTACATTGAAATAATATTTAGTATATCTTTTATTTAAAAAAAAACTTTACACAGGATTAAAGTCATTTTTAGTAACATTATGATGAAATTTAAATTTTTTAACATTGAGTTCCTATTGACTTGGGTTAATATATAAAACTAAATAGGATAATTTTATATCATTGTGTAATAAATAACGGTCTTTTTTTTTATTTAGGCAATACCTGGTGGTTTTAAAAAATTAGATGTCAATAGTGATGCAGTAAAAAGTAAAGCTCAATTTGCTTTGGAATCGATTGCCCAACAAACTGGTACAAACCGTTCATTAAGATTGGCTAAAATTGAATCAGCCGAATCTCAAGTAACTAATTTGAAAAATATTAATTGCTTATCGAATGAATATTATTTATTACTATTATTCTAAATAAAAAATTCGTTTTAGATAGTTTCTGGAGTGAACTATAGAATAGGTTTGGTAGTTTGTGAACAAGATTCAGCTAAAGAAAATCAATTAATTAATAAGGTATGACGATTCTAATTATCAATTTAAAATTTTACTAATATTATTTATAATGTTAAATAAAATTCAATTTTTAATATTACCGTCACATATCTTAACAAAAAATTTTCTATTTTTAATTTATTGTCAGGTAAATAAAAATAATAACACTTTTTATAGTAAATAAAATTTGTTAATTTATACTTTTAGTTTGCTAACACTATAATAATTGGAAGATAATATCAGAAATAATTTTCTTTATATTGGGTTAAAATTATAAAACCGGTGAGATCCTAAAATAATTTAACGATTTAAAAAAAAAAATACTTAAAGAAAATAACCTATATTTTAAAAACTATATGTAGAATATGTTGAATAAGGAAACTAAAACTGTATTTTAATTTTAATTATTTGACTCAACGAATTTAAAACATGTTTAGATTTATTCCAATAAGAGTTAACCGGCTATTGAAAGTTTAACCAAGGGAAATAATCAAATATATTATTTAATTTTCAGGACTGTCGTTACTGTGCCATAAGTGTTTGGGAGCAATCCTGGTTAAACAGCACAAAAGTGACGAATGTAAATTGTTCAGAACCAGGAAATCTTGAATCATTATCATCTGCATCTTTAAATAAAATGGAATAATAATGGTATAACACTATAATTAATCTTTTTAGTTGTATTTAAAATATATAATGTTCCGTTTTATTCAAAGTTGCAGATATCTTTGAATAAAATGGAATAATTTTATTTATTGAAATCTATAACATTGTTTTTTATAATATTCTCAGTAGTGTGAATTATTCTATTTATATACAATTATATATATATTAAATTACATATACACAATACTTTTGGGCTATTTGTCTATTTATTTTTATTGTTACGTATAAAATTTTTTATAATTTTATAGTTGAAAAAAATCGTACTTACATCAGAGCTAGACTTAAATTTAAAATATCTATTGAAAAAAATAGCAACTACAAAAAAACGTTTTGATTAAATAACTCCACAAATTATAGGAGATAAAATTGGTTTTTTACTGAATTACACAGTAAAATCATAAAGTGAAACAGATTTTGTTGTTCATAGACCAATATATACATTGCTAAACAGTTGTTGCTGTTACCCATATTTACTTGCTACCACCTATTGGTGTCCCCAACGTTACCGCAGTCTTGATTCACTTACCATCACCGCTTTGCCGATCGTTGTCCATTACCGTTAAGTCCACCACTGCCACTCAAAGCAGCCACCATCACCGCTGATGTCCGTTTACACTGCTATTGCGAGATCGAAGTCTACTCTATAGTCGAGAACATTGTCATCCATCGCCGGTACAGCAGTTACCCTCTCGACCCCCCGGCCCACTCATGTGGTTTGTGTTCTTAACGCCCATATACATGTGTTGCGGCGAGTGTAAAGTTGTCTACACAATAACTGATGATAATCAAGTTTAGGTATAGTGGGGAAAAAGTATACAAAAACAGAAAGAACACATGAAGAGAATTAATGAGAAAAGGAGTTTTAAAAAGATACATTAATAGAGGATATTACATGATGGCAATTGTACTAAGGTAAAAAGTATGGGCGGATTAACAGAAGATTTTATGGATATGGTAGGAGTGCACCAGGGTTCTACGACTTTACTGTTAAATTATTGCTTAATTACTAGTTATTTATTATTTCAAAAACTAATTATATTGAACAAACATAAAACCAAATTTGAAATTAGTAACAAATATTCATAGATAATTTTCTTAATTTTGAGAGTAATGATTATTGACCAATGTTATTATTATTGTAATGTAGAGTTTTTATATATTAAAGAGCCGTGCAAATTATTATCACATTTATCTTTAATTATTTTTGAGATCTCTTATGTAGCCATAATATATAAACTGAAATATACAATATATTATAGTAGTAATACGGTAAATCATGATAACGTTAAAGACAAAAAACAGACAAATAACCAAAATGCTGAAGATTCGTCAGAACATGTGTAGTAAATATCTGAATAACGTCGATTTTAGTATAATACGGGGTTTAAGGCAATAGTAAGCAATTTTTAAATTCTCGAGCAATACAGTGGTGTCATATAGAAGGGAAATGCAGAGTAAGCAAATTAATAATGGTGGAAAAAAGAATATAAAAGGGAAACATGAAAAGGGTGGGAGACGAGACTGGACGTTTTTGTCGAAGAAACGTCGAGTTACGGGTACGCGAGTGTCTTTGTATGATTTAATTTTGTATTGTGTTACATTTTTGATATTACTTTTTGACTTTGTGTTTGATACGGTTCTTAAATAAAATAGCTATTTTAAAACCTGGACTTAGAGCAAATATTTTATATTCACCGTGTTCTTAGAATTGTGTGTGTGTGTGCGACTAGAGTCAAGGTTGGACTATTGGTCCTTTAGTGGGTATAGTAAAAAGGTAGTTGTGCTGGTGACTGACAAGGAGCCACCCTTCAGTTTGCTACTTTTAAGCTAGACTGTGCTGACGTGTCTAAACTCTACCCCTTTAGTAGTCCACTAATTAGAGGGATTGGGGCTGATCAGTTTATCCAACGGGAGGACTCGAGAAGAGCTCGAACGACGAACTCGTCGTCGATATATATATATATATATATATATATATATAAGAACATTAATTAATTTGTGTTAAACTTTTGTGTCTACGTTGGGGCACTACCGACGTACGACACATGATATTCTATTACCAAAATATATGATCGATTACATACTTTTTATTTAATTTTCAATAATGAGAAGTTGACTTGAAATTTGGTTGCTGTTGTTTTGTTAAGCAATCATTTATATTTATAGAAATGTATGTCATATAAAGTAAAATGTTAATTCATAACTTACTATTTATTATTTCATTAATTAATTACTTTATTTATGTTTATTTAATATATATTACCGACTCATTTCTGTTAACGTTAGTCTTAAATTTAAATTTAGTGTATTAAAATTATATACAAGATTGTTTGGACACGAAATAATTAAAATATTTTAAAACTAAAGTTCATTAAATTATCTAAACTCTCTGTGTTGTAAATATAATTAAAAAATATATACAGTATTATTAATTATACTACATAAGATTTCTCTATCTTATTGTCAGTAAAAAATTTAACTTTTAAATTATTTTCAGAAAATTTTACAATATAAAATGTTTATAGTCAATAGTTCTAAAAAAACTGTCAAATATAGTATTTCTTTCTAAAAAAAAGGTAAATAATTTATTAAAAAAACGGTAGTACAGTGGGGTCGCGGCACAGTATGAAATTGATATTCAATAATATAATATTGTAATTTTTACGGAGATATTATAAAAATAAAAAGGAGTTGTATATTTATATACTTTAAATGTATATAAAAATTTGATTGATGCAATACTTTTTAATAAAAAAATTTTGTTACTTATGAATAAATACACTAGATTACAAGGAACTTTCATCAGAAACAAAAATATATTTTTCTAAATCAACTTTTCGCGATGTTTTCAAATGTGCAATTAAACTTTTTCTATTACTTCTAAGTTTTAATATTATTACTTATTATTAAAAAATAAGTATTTACATATAAAAAAAAAGTAATTAAGAACGTCATTTGACGTATCGTTGAAAAAAGTAGGTCAAGTTAGAGCAGAGAAAATAAATGATAGTCACAGAAAAATATCTTCTCAGCTTTGCAACGAAGCTAAAACTTAAAATATAGTAAAATAATTTTAATATGAATAACAATTTTTTTCTCACGAGTGGCGACTACAGTAATGGGATCCTTGATCTTTATTGAACTTATTGAATCTAAATGAGATAAAAATCAAAGCAATTGAAAATTTATTCTTACTTAAGAAGAATTAAGAAAAAATGCAAAAAATTCATTGCCATACGCGCGTTGGAACCTTGTATCCCAAGCTCGTAAAACACAAGTTTAACCGATTCGGCAACCGTACGTTGGTACCGTCGAATAAAAAAACCCAGCACAATGGGGTCGCGGGATTCACAGGTGCGTAACAATAACACGACTTATCGCTACGATAGCTGAAGCTATAATATTTTATATTATAATATTATATTATAATATTTTAAACTATGTTTTTCAATTTTGCCAACTTTTAAACAAATAATGTATATATATTTTATTTTATTATGAACAGTAATAACTTATTTTTTTATGAACGTATATTGACCATTAAAATAAAGATTTTTTTTCTTTAATAAACCGCAATGTTTAAATTTATTAGTTATTAATTATATAAAGTAATGCATAATATATAATTTAATAATCCTAATAGGTTAAACGTATCCGAACTAAATCTTTTAAAACCTTCATTCTTAATAAAATGGTTAAATCTCTAATTCCAGTAATGAAATGCCTATTTTAACCATATAAAGAACGGTTAAGTTTACATTCAAATTATAGCTTCTGTATCCCTCTGATTGTTCCACGAATAAATTTTCTTTAAAAATATAATTGAACTTCAAATGATTTAATTTCATCTGATACATTGATATTCATGTAAAATTAATTTTCTAGTGAATTTTACTAATTTTAGTTAATTTTACTGTCTTTTAAATCTACATCAATAACAAATATTGATTAAGGAATGAAAGCAATGTAACTAATAACTCTTATAACTTTTATTACAATTAATGTTTTGTTGTAATTTATTTTTTAATGATTTATGTATGCTTAGACTACAATAAATTTATATTTTTTATTATTTCACTCTAATAAAAAATAAAAATAATTTTATTTTTTAAAAATTTTGATGGATTGATAATAACTTCAGTATTAGAACTTATTGAATTACAAGCATTTTAATACTTACAAAGAGTATGTAGTAAAATGTTTGTAAATAAATAATTAATCGTTCTATAATTGTTGTCGACCAATCAATAATTTTTGTAAGGAAAGTATAAAAAACTAACTATTTGAAATTTTGAATTAAAAATAAAATTGACACGGCTGTTGGGAATTAATGCTCGGTCATCAAAAGTGTATTGGAAATTATGCGAATAAAAGAGTTATGGTAATGATTATTTTAACCACCAGAGACGGTTAAATGGGAGTGGAATAGGGCGATATATTTTCTCATTGACATATCCTTTGAAATTTTTGTACAATTTTCATTGTATATATTATATTTTGGAAACTTTATGTACGAAAAGTTATTGAACTTAATTAGTATGAAAAAATTAGTAATCCTACAATTTTGGAAGATTAAATTTTAAGTCTTTGTTATTAGTAAACGTAAATAAATTTAACTGGTACTATTTTGAAATAAATTAAATATTTGAAATAGGTTTAAAAGAAATAATCTATTAAGGCATGTGTTAATAGTTCATTATAACAATTTAATTAGGAATGCAATATAAAAAGCTTTGTGTTAGGGGGCTTAGCTTTTATGATGATTTTTATCTAAAAGGTTTTTTATCCCTTCCATACAAAAATCATTTGACCACGACTGCTTACCGCTAAATCAACACGTATTTATGATTCAATTCTTGATATATTTCTATAGATGTTAATAACGTGATGTGCAGCTAAGTTAAACACAATACAGTGTTATAACAAAATATTAATTATGTCAAAAGTTATAGGAGTTATCAGTTTGATATGTTTCACTTTGTATACTCCAATTAACCCATTTAAGCCCAAGTTTAATTTTTTTTTAAGAAAACTGATTGTGTTATTATAAATTAATATAATTAAATCTATAAAGTATTAAAAAAAAATAACAAAAAATTCATTTTTACCTCAGATTAAAGATTATGAATCTTCTATATTAGGACACTGGGGAGATTATTATATATAATGTTGTAAAATTTACAATA